GTATTAACCATGTAAATGTAATTGTTTTGACCGATAATTTAGTCAATGCATTATAAATATACCGATAAATAAGATATTTATTGTTTAGATCTGAAGGTTCTGTATAAGCATATTGAAATGGATCCAAACAATACACCAAAATCTCTACAGAACAAAGTTCAGTTTGATCTTCGCTTCTTTCTTTGCCGACGTGGAAATGAAAATGTATACGAGATGACAAAAAAAACTTTTGAAACAGCAACTGATCCATCTACAGGCCTTAAATATGTTTACAAAGCTCAGGATGAGCTCGATAAAAATCATGGAGCTGATGCAACTGACGTTGTAAGTGGTATCATGCCCGAAATGAAAGAATCTCCTTCCTGCCCTGTTAGTTCCTTTCTGAAGTACATAGATTCACTACACCCAGATTGCCCATATCTATGGCAACGTCCAAAAACCACTGTTGAGTGTAAAAGTGCTGAAGAAAAGGGAAAACATTTCTACTGCTACTACAATCAGCGCTTATCTGAGAACACTCTTCAATCTTTCATGAGCAAAATGTCACATCTGTGCAACCTAAGCCGTGTATATACCAACCATTGTATCAGGGTGACTGGTGCAACCTTCTTACGTCGCCAAAATTTCTCAGCAAAGCAAGTGATGAGTGTTACAGGCCACAAATCTGTAAATACACTTGCCCTATATGAGAGAGTCAACGATGATGAAAAGTTACTAATGGGGATGGCAATGAATCACTATCTAACTTCAACCCCTCAGGATATGCAGTCGGAGTATGCAGAAAGGCTTGAAGAGATTTCAAAATGCCCGGAGTCACCAGCTGTATCTCAGCATCCTCCCCTTGCACCCAAAAGAAACTCATACACTGGCCCTCCAGATCTACCTCTAACCAAGAAGAAGTTTCAGCAAAAACCAGCCAATCTACTGCAGAACAAAGATACAAATATCCAACCCACCGTTCAAAATGCCCTTGTGCCTGCCGTAATACCAAACTTACAAACCAACAACCCACCAGTCATCCCACGGGTTCAGGCAGATTTTGACCTCTTCGAACCACTTGGAGATGATATACTTGAGATAATAAATTCACTGGAAAAGCAAGAAAGTGAAGTCACATCCATGGATCGTACAGAGAAGACAATTACAATGAAGCAAACTCAAGTCACAAAGATATCACCTCCTTTGGGACATTTACCAAGCTTTTCACATTGTAAAATTGAAAATGTGCTCATCCATATCCATCCAAAATGACTTTTCAATTAAAAATGTTCATGAAAACTGTTGGAACATTGTACAATCTGAGAAACGTTACATGTTTGTTTGAAATGTTACATGTTTGTTTGAAATGTTAAAATAAAGCTTTGAAAACTTTACGAGTTTTTTAATCATCCAGTTTCAATTCATCCAATCAGATTTGTCTATTACTGTGCGTTGATAGACAAAATCCTTGTTCCAAAGGTCTATTGGGGTATACAAGATTTATCCCTCTCAGCCTGGTGGCAGAATTTGTATCCCTCTCAGCGCTTCGAGGGATACAAATTCTGTCACCAGGCTTCGAGGGATTAATCTTGTATACCCCTCAGACATTTGGAATAAGTGTTAGTGTATTTTAACTGTGTAATATTATAGTATATGCTACATTTGCTGCCTACATGCATATTGTGTTGTATCCTCAATTTTTTCTGCCTCATGTATTGTAAACATTTGTTCAACATATACTATTTTGTATTAGGACCACGAATCATCAGATGAGATGTTTCAACCTCCTGAACCAAAACGTAAAAGGGGCACAAGAGGTAGACCATCAAGTCATGGGTATTCAAGGGGTTCAACAGCTTCTAGAGGTCGAGCAAGGCAACCCAGAAGAGCCCGCAGGTCAACAAGAGGTGGAAGAGGGTGTGGTAGATGAAAGGCAGGTTCAGCATGAAGAGCAGATACAGGTATTGTAAGTCTGCATTGCATTAAGCCTGGAAACATACTATTCAAGTGTGTTCCTCTGTTTAATACTTGTGGATTGTACTTTTAAATGTATTAATATTTGACTCTATCAATCACCTGGTGATTGTACTTGTCAGTTCTCAGTGCATGCTCATAGTGCTGCAAGTTATGTGCTAAAAGAGATGTTCGCAAACTGTATCTAGCAACTAAAATGGACTGTAACTAGTTGAGGCCCTTCATTCAGGATAACTGTAACTTGTGCAATTTGACCAACAACACTGTACCTGGCAGTGTCTATTTAGTGAATAATTCAAAATATATTATTATCCTTCAAATATTTGTAGGAACTCATAAGTGGCCTAAATGAGGAAGCAGTTAGACGCTTGGTTGTTGAACTGCTAAGACGACAACCTGCAATGTTTCCTGATTTAAGTAAATGGTGAGTTACCAAACCCAGGTGCACCAGTAAACCAAGAACCACCAGAGGACCCGGGACCATCAGAAGACCCAGGACCACCAGAAGACCCAGGACCACCAGAAGATGACAATAATTCACCTGATTGGTGTAAGTGTGGTTTGTGTGTAGCTATGCCAACACAAGCTGAAAACAAATGTTGCACACAAAGTGTTCGGCCATGTATAAAAACAAGCCCATTATTCTACCAAATTGTCTTGGATGGGAACATATTTGATGTGGCAATGAGGTACAGGGAGGATATGTTGGCAATGGAACATCCCCGGAATAATGAGAACTTTCGGCATACAGCATACAGGCAATTTGTTCTTTGGCAACATGGTAGACTTGGACAAGGTAACCGGAGAGTTGTCCCAAGTTGCTGTGTGAAGGCAATCAGGAATCATTACCCGTCACCTAATGGTGTTTATGTAGGCTTCAGGCCAGCAAGCTTATAGATTATAAATAATTGAAATTAAATACAGTACATTTTGCATGCATATATAGTTTGTATATACTGTGTACATTCCTATATCTCAGTATCAGTTTCTACCAGTATCAATATTGCACAGTATTGGACAGCATAAAATAGTAAGTACACATTGCACACATAATTATGTATATGTGCCTTTAATTTAATATTTTACCATATGGTATATATTATTTTAGACATACCAGTATTAATTGCTTTGTAAATATGTACAGTATGAACTCTAAAAATCAAGACTGATGCTTTTCTAACAACTGTGTAACTGTTGGCCTTGGTGCCACTGGAATATTGGGAGCAATATTCCTTGGATCCTCTGCACTCCTCACTTGTTTTTGGTTAACATTACCAGTTTTCACTTGCTCTTCAAAGATCTTCACAATAAGTGAAGGTATATATGCATACTCTTTGGGTACAAGAACAGCTACTGGTCTCCATTGCTTGGTTCGCTTACTGTGTTGGGCACGGTGTCTGATAGATTTAAAATGGAGATTTCAGTAGTTGTTAGGGATTGATGCAGGTATCTATTAATACTGTAAACGGATCTAGATATATTTGTTAGCCAATGTATTATTTTGCCAAACTCAATATACTAGTTACTTACACAAGTTCTCCACCATAGTTCCTATAAGGTTGCCGATTTCTGTGACTGTTAAAGTCAATAACAGCAAGTAGATTGCGCAGCTTATACCCAACATACCTGTAAAGTAAATTTCAAGTTCACTTTAACATTTTGCTTAAAATGTATGAAACTAGAGCCAGGTACAGAATTTTAAATATGTTAAATCATTTTGGTAAGGTACCAAAGTATTTTTTAAACTAATTAATAACCATTCATATACTTACCAATATGCATGCCGTTTTGGACAATACATCCGCATATGGTTGTGAAAAGATTTAAGGAATCCTTTGTGCCTAGAGTAATATAAAAGAAAGTCATACTGTAGGTACAATTAAATTGCTTTGTGATTATTAAACAAAATGTCAAAACTGCCAGCTAAATGTAATATGGTTATTAGACTGTAAATTACAGTGTCAAGTTATATTTATACTGTTTACTGACATTACTAACCTGAAGTTGGTATAATAGTGAAATGTATTTAGGAATTGCTTGCTCAACACAACCTTTTGCAATGCATTTTGTGCTTTACTGTTTTTCTTCAACCAAGGCTTTTGTCTTTCTTCTTCAGTGAGGCTATCATGTGCACATTTCCCAGAGCTTTTCCCATCATCTAATGCCCATTCATGCTCATTTACAACATGGTGAAGTATTCCTCTCCATAAATCCTACAAAAATATTCACTTATAGTATGCATAGGTATAGTTTGTTTAAAACAATCATTTAGTAGATTAACAGCTGTAGTCATGCAGTATCGAAGAAATGAAGGCTATTTTATTATATCCATTGCTAAACTAAAAAGGTTATATGAAAGTGCTATTATTGTTATTTTTTAAGATATTTTTATACAATGTGTACCTTGAAATCATCAACATTCCCATCACAATGCCGACTACAATACCAAAAATGGTTTTTCACAGCCCCTGCCCATTGAGTTAAATCTTCATTTCCTTTTTCTTTAGCAACCTACAGTAAAGCCAGCGAAAAAGTGTTTGTTACTAAATTATGCAATTACACTATACAAATGATGGACATGGGAAATGCATGAATTATATTTTTTTAAATTAGCAACCAATACCAGCAAGTAACCATTCAATAGATACAGTAGTAATATCATGAAGTGTTTAATAAAATACAGCACCACTTACTATGGCACCATTTAATCTGCTTATTGCCAGTTAGTTGTTCCAACAATGGATGCTACTGCAATTTTTTACCTTGTATATGGTAACAATGACACAAGAAATTTTATTGGTCAAGAGGTATGTATTAGTGCATTTTGATTCTGGTTACCAAAAAATTACAACTAATTTCTACACACACTGTGCAGGATATTGAGTTAATAAATAAAACTTACACTTTGACTTTCTTCCTAATACCCAAACAGACAGTTTAGTGTTAAACAAAAACAATCAGCCTACACTCGAAGACAACTACTTAGTGCCATTGCATCACTGTTTGACCCGCTAGGTTTTCTCGCACCCTTTGTGGTTAGAGCGAAGATGTTACTTCAAAAAGTCTGGCAACTTGGTTTGACTTGGGATGATCAATTACCTGAAGATGTGTTGGCAAAATGGCGATTGTGGGAAGCTGAGCTTCTGATGCTGGAGCAATTTTCAGTCCCAAGATTTTATCAGCAAGTTGATGTACATCCAGAGTATATTGAAGTTCACCTCTTTGGAGATGCTAGTGAGTTAGCGTTTTGTTCTGTGGGTTATCTTCGGTTCAAGTACCAAGATGGGACAATGAAGTGTGTATTTGTGACGGCGAAAACCCGCGTAGCACCGACAAAGAAGTTAAGCATACCAAGACTCGAGTTGCAAGCAGCCGTCCTATGTATGAGAGTGGCAAGCGTGATTATTAAGGAACATGACTACACGTTTAGTGCGATGCACTTTTGGTCGGACAGTACAACAGTCCTTCACTGGATTTGTGGAACTTCAACACGACACCCATCATTCATCGCAAATCGGATAACCGAGATTCTGGACGCAACAGAAGTTAACCAGTGGCATTATTGCCCAACTAAGTTAAACCTAGCAGATGACGGTACACATGGACTTCCAGTTTCATCCCTCACAACAAGTTCTCGTTGGCTGAATGGACCTGAATTTCTGCTGTCTGATGAAAAAGAATGGCCCCACAACGTCACAGTCAAGATGGTCGAAGGAACGCCTTCCGACAATGGTCAAGAAAGTGATCATCATTTCGCAGACAAAACGACAGCGCAGAGTGAACCCGCACAAGTGGAACTTGTTGATATTACCCGATATTCTTCATACCTTCGCAGGTTGACTGTTATGGCTTATGTTAAACGTTTTCTTCGTAATCGTAAAGTGCGAGAATCCGAGAGAGTATTCGGTAATCCATCAGTCGAAGAACTTGAACATGCAAGGAAACAGTTGATTCGTAAAGAACAAGCGAAGTCATTCCCGTCTGAAGTCAAGGCCCTTAAACATGGACGTCCTGTCGAAAGACAAAGCAAGTTGGTGTCCTTAGCGGCTTTCATGGACGAAGATCGAATAGTATGCGTTGGTGGTCGCATTGGGAAGGCGGCTTTACCCTTCGTTACGCGTCATCCGATTGTTTTGGATTCATATGGGAGGAGCATGGGAGAGACTAGTGCGTTCTTGTAAGAGAACCTTTAAAGCAGTCTTAAAGAATCAAGTATTGACTGATGAAGTGTTGGCAACTGCAATGGGCGAGGTAGAATCGTTGGTGAACAGCAGACCCTTGACTGAAGTTAGTTCGGATGTTGAAGCGATGGAAGCAATTACGCCAAATCACTTTCTTCTTGGTCGTTCTAGTTTGAATTTACCACCTGGTGTGTTTGTTGACAAGGAGATTTCGAGTCGAAAGCGTTGGAGACAATCGCAAGTTGTAACAAATCATTTATGGGGACGATGGTTAAAAGAATACTTGCCTGGTCTAGTTCAAAGGGCGAAGTGGACTCAAGAGGAGCCAAATCTTAAGATTGGAGATTTGGTTATTGTAGTAGACTATTCCTCTCCGCGTGGTACTTGGCCGTTGGGAAGAATTATTAAAGTCTATCCCGGTTCAGACAAGGTAGTAAGAAGGTGCGGATGTGAAAACCAAGTTTGGAGTGTTCAGAAGACCTACAGCAAAGCTAGCAGCACTTGATGAGTGATCGTCCTTACGATAACGAACGATCACAGGGGGAGAATGTTCAGACTAGCTGACTTTTCCTTGACATTATTATTTACATTTACAGTTTTTTTGGGACAGGACCTTTCTTTCTTTGTTTTGTTGAGTTCCGGTATGTAATTGGACTATACAGGCACTAAGTAACTAGTACAGGAGCCTGGGTTCCGGGAGAAAGTGACATGACATTGCCCGGATGAAAGCATGTTTGAGAGAACCTTTTTGTATATTTTTTTTGTATTCCGGATTTTTTGTTGAAATTATGTTGATTTAAATGGTTTTTGGTTGTGTTTTTTTTGTACTAATTTCCTCCCAGTATGGCTGGGATGGCCCCAAAGCTGGTTGGAACATTATGTGCCATTAGGTTTAAATAAGAGGAAAGATTGTTAAGTGTATGGTTATGCTAATTTTCAGGTAATTAGGCTATATAGGTTTGAAGGATGGTGAACAGATTGTTATTTTGTTTCCGACGAAAGGGCTTGCCCCGAAACGTAAAATAAAATTATTATTTCATTTTACTTTTTTGTATATTGATGTATATACAAGTATGTTGAAAGGCTGGCTCTTGATATATGTATTATTATTGCCATGGTTAAAATTGGTCTGTGAGATGGCAGAATGTGATAGGGGATTTGGGATATTGATGAAATTAAGACATAAACTAGTGAAGCTTAACATCATGAAATGGTTTATGAGAAATGTTTGGCGGAGAATATTACACCAAAAGGTCTTCGTCTCAAGACGAAGCCATGCTTAGGTAAAGTTTCGAGCCTTTTTGAACGAAAATGGTTAAATATCCTACGTGGTGCGGAATGTAAGTTAATATTGGTTTTGAAAGAGGAAGCAGTGGCGATGCAATCACAAATCTCAAACGAATTTCATGCTAGAGTGAGTGAGTATACAAGCTCAAACGGCAACCAACTGATGAAACATTGGCTGATAACATTGGAACAATATGAAGAAGTTTGGAAGCGAGAATTGGCTGCAAGACAGAAAGCAAAATTTAGAAGATTGTTGAGAAAGAAGCAAGAACATGGACGAAGAGAATTGTCAACCAAAGCAATAAGGAATTTACGAACATTGGTTTTAAATAACGTGGCGATGAATGATAGAGTGAGTAACGTTGGGATACAAGATGAAGTAGAAGGGAATGGTTCTGTTGAAGAAACTCAGATACGAGTTGATGAAAACCCTGTCGAGGGAGCTCAGTTGCAAAGGGATAACAGTGCTAATGAACAAGTGGTTAGTGATAAATTTTTCAGTGATAATGTAGTTAATATTTCTAGTAGAGTTTTAACGCGAGCTGAGATTTCATTGTTGTCGAAAGGCTTGAAGTTTTGCCCCGCACCAAAGAGATTAGATTGGGAAGCCATAAAATCTGATGTTAAGGAATTTAGTCGAAAAATTAGGTGTAAGGCATATTTTAGTGAAGTTTCTAATTCAGTCTAACTGGGTACCAGAACAAATAGAACCGGCAATTGAAGTTTATTGTACAAAATTAGAGGAAAAAAATTGTAGTATAAGTTGCGAAGGGAGAAATTATAGTAATTTTTCCTTTGAAGAATTACAAGCATTAAAACATCTGAAGGGTTATAAAGACATTGTTATAAAAGAACCCGATAAAGGTTCCGTTGTAGTAGTTTGGGATAGGAAGGACTACTGTGATGAGGCATACCATCATCTTGATGATAATTCTGTATATGAAGAGGTTAGTTGTAACCCTTTGGGGGAAATCTCAATTCGTGTTAAAAATATTTTGCAGCTATTAGTTGGTAGAGGATATATTACTGAGAGAAATTTGAAATATTTGGTTTTACCCAAGCCTTGATTGGGTAGATTCTACCTTTTACCAAAGATTCATAAGCGACTTGAAAATGTTCCGGGTAGGCCAGTTATTTCAAATTGTGGGACTGCCACTGAACGAGTTTTTAGATTTCCATATACAGCCTTTGGTAGATTATGTGCCCTCTATCATAAGGGATACTACACATTTTTTGCAAAGGTTGGATGCACTTGGGCATATTCCTTCCTCTACAATAATGTGTACTATGGATGTGGTGGGTTTATACCCACATATCCCACATAAAGATGGTTTGGAAGCTTTAGAGAAATTTATGGGAGGAAAATGCCGGTTGAAGATTTCATTTCATTAGCTAAGTTGGTTTTGGAGCAAAACTATTTTGAGTTTGATGAAAAAATCTTTCGACAGAAATTAGTTACCGCATTTGGGACTATTTGTCCCAAAGCGCTAAATGTTAAACTCTGAGCATACAGGAATCTCGGGTTATTACGTACTTAGGGAGCTTTTTTATTGAAGTATAAGCCTTTAAAACAGTCACCTACAGTATATAGATATAGAAGCCTTATAAATAAATATTTCTGAGTTTAAAGTCTATAGGTATGTAATAACCTGACATTCGTTGTATGCTTAGAGTTTTATGTTTAGAGTTTTGGGAAGACAACCTTAATTGAAATAGCTGTATATGGCATGCATGAATGAAAATTAAAGAGTGCAGTGAGCACAATTGTAGCATGTTTACATTGGACATGCTGGAACTCTGCAAATGCAGTGAACAAGTCGTATTACTTTCTATATAATTACACTGGTTGATAAAACAGTATACTGTAGCATGTGAAGCAGGGGCAGTCACTTTTGTGCATGCAACTGTGCAACCCCCAAAACCTTCAGGTGAGTGTAGTCTACACTGTCAATGTACAGCAGACAAGCCATGATACTGGACTTAAGAAAAGACACAGGAATTCGATTATAATATTGTATTGTTTGATGCAGGTTGTAGTCAATTTTAACAAAAATAGCATATTATAGTATAGTCTTTTTACTGATATCATAGCCGTATTAATATCTGTATTATTGTATATTAATATAAATAGTGTATAAGGTAAACAAAGTCGCACTGAAAAATTGTCCATTGACAAGATTAATATTAATTATATTTTAGTGTAAATATACAAAAACTACTGTGATTAAAATTAATAATAATAACTTACCATCATCTATCAATATGTTTTGAAATGAAGCGTTTAAATACTTCGCAATTCTCAGTAGATAAATTGAGGACATCCCCCTCCTGACTCAACCTGTTATTTTCTTTCAATTCTTCCATCAATCAACGCAAAATTATGCCAAAATTAATATATATGTTGTCCAACAGATCTTTATCTAAACTGTGCTAACATTACTAGGTATCAAATAACAGCTAAAACTAACAGGATTGTTGATTTATATTCGGATGCTAGATGCTAGAGAATATCATCAAAAGTCAAGAATTTCAAACAATGAAATACTATAGACACTAATGCAAAATTAAAAAATCGAAAATTCTGAATTTTTTTCAGAATAATCATGGGTCGCTTATTAACAAAAAATAATTTTAAGATCGATTGAACGAATATTGAAGCTGGGGGAGCTCGAGAGGCTCTCAGACCAAAAAAATAGGTCGGAAAATAGGGCTGCGTTTCAGCAGAATGTGATGCGGAAACATAGCATTGTTCGCCAAACCAAATATATCACATTACAGGTAGGTAAATACTTCCCTGCTTTCTGCTGATTTTCAAAGCAATGGAAACAAAGTAGAATTTTTGACAGGTTTTTGAAATTTAATCTTCCTGTTGGACAATTTCTGACACCCGGATTTAAGCAATTTTCGAGCGAGGTAAATCCAGCATGATACATGTTTTTTTTTGGAAAATGGTTCTATTTTCCAATTAGAGTAACTCATGGCCTCTAGAGTGACGCTAAGCGTATTTTGGGAACTCTAAATTTGCGCTGTTGAAACGGGGTGAAGTACGGACCACTTGAGCTCTAAGATGACCTTTGACACACAGCCGCTGCGCGCGGTTAAACACACAATATGTAGCTAAAAAGTTTGTTTTCTCTGTAGAAATAACAGACAAAACAACATCCAGAGTTAAAATAATTCAATGTGGTCATTAGTTACCGATCAACCGTTGTCTTGCTGGGAAAATCTTCAGAAAAAGATTTGTGGCGCGATTTGTAATTAAACACAGTGTTTGGCATAATATTGTAAACAGTATAATCACTTGCACAGTTGGGTACCCAAACTGATCGCTGCAAACTATCCACAAAAGCACTGACTTTTTTACTTTTAATATGATTGAAATCAGATTGAAAATAATTTCATAAGCAATCTCAGTCATGTTGATGCGAAGACAGTTGACAGCTAACAGAAAATCCGACAATCCTACTTTGATGAAAAATTTTCAATAGGTCAAGAAACCGGCCACAAAGTAGATCCCGCTTCTGTTGCCAAAGAAATGCGATACGTCAAGAAAAAAGATGGAACAAGAATGTTTCAGGCAGGAGAGTTTCTAACTGAAACTCAGATTTGAGGCTATTTCTTCAGACAGGGGCAAAACTGCGACTTGGTTATGAGCCAGATACTGATAAAAAGAATGGCAGTTATGGATTTTTCAAGAAAAAAATCACGGTTAA